CTATCAGCCATAGTCTGTGACCGACAGATGAGAAACATAAACACTCGTCTTTGGAAAGACCAAATGTACAGACGCTGCTAATCCCTGCATCCTAAACTGACTATTTAAAAAGGTTTAAAAAGTTCTTGTTTTGTGGTGCAATAGTCTAAAATCAGTAAGGTTGTGGGACAAGACACAGAGCACGGAACCTTTTGAATGATTATCTGGACTGGACACTGGTATATAAGACCACTGTTTATAGACACATACAATGTCAAATCAACAAATAGCTGTGTTTCGTTTCCATTATCTTGCCAGTGTTCAATAACATAACGGTAGCCGAGGAAGAGCAGCTCAGGTTTCATTTCTACTCTGGCAGCTAAACAACTGAGTCACACTGAGCTTTAGTGACGCTGCTCAGCCTCCTGCAGGAGCTCATCTTCCACTCCGCAGGAACCAGGACCGCGGGTCTCCATGACAGACTGTTTGCCTTTTTCACTTTGTGAGGATGTGTCTGTTGTCCTGCAGTGTGTTAATACTCAGTCAAATGAGGTGAGCATTTTCTCTCTTCCAAGAAATCACTGGCCAATCTGCTCTGCCTGTCAAATTAGAATGGCCGACTTATTGGAGCAGGTGAAACAACGTGTGTTAAGGAAGCATAAACCACAGGGGAACTGATTTTTGTCGATGAATAAAATCATAAAAACAAACTTAATATAGAACAAATCACACAGCTACAAATATATATATATATACAAATATATATATATATATACTGTACATATATATATATATATATAGAGAGAGAGAGAGAGAGAGAGCTGTAGTCTAGATTTTGGGTAAAAAAAGCAACGTAGATTATTCAGGAGGATGGATTTTGAGCTAATATAGAAATGAATGCACACTATGAACAACCTGAGGATTAGCTGAGATGTTCATGTACAGTAAACACCTGTTGTGGGGTAGTTGTGTTTATGTGTGTGTGCATCAGATGCCACTTCAGAGAGCAGCAGAGAAGCAAACAAATAAGAAAGACAAACAGTAGATATTCAAACTAAGCTTCCATTAACTTACCAGGGAACTGATAGCTGTAGCTCGGTGCAAATCCACTGTATCCACGGCCATATGTTGCCACAATGTTGGGATAACCTTTGACAGAGAGGAGAGTGATGACATAAGACGCAGAGGGAGATAACGTACATGTGAGGATGTGACACTAATACAGGACATCTGGTTGACGGAATTATAGAGACTTTTTTCTTAATTATATGTTGGACTGCGAACGGCAAAGCGCCCTAGGTCGTGAACATCGTAAAATGAGGACCTCCTGTATATATAGATTTTTTTAATGTGGGAACTACTGTGTATGTTGGCCATGCATATACTGCTGCTTTGTTTTTGTAGCCAGTCGTACTGACATCAGAGAGTCTGACCTTGGTCATAAATATCTCATCAGTGTTTGTTGTCCATGAAGAAGTTCAATTTATTACTGACTCAGTGGGCAAATACCTCTATCCCACAACTTCACCACAGTGTCAGAGAAAAAAAAATCTAGGCAAGGCAGCGAGGGCTCTGATGTGGATCAAGTAGGACAGAGGCTATAACAGTAACAATAAAAGTCTTCATTAGGACGTGATGAGAAGTCATCATGGACCAGCTAGAGATAGAAAGGCTTCACAAAACCCCACGCTGTTTGTTTGCTTTGAAAAGACCTGAAATGATACGATAGAAGGCTATCAGGAGCCGTACACTCTTGGATATTACGTATTTGATACTGTCTTACTTTCAAACAGAATCGTTTCCAGACAGAAATTGTCGGCTTAGACAAAGCAAATCATAATAGTCTGTTATTTTAACTGTTATTTTCTGAAACAGCCATACCACTGCCCTTATGTAATGCCTTAGATTTTTTTTTTTGTTGCAGGATGAAATAGATGAAACTAGAAATGTTTTCCAAAGACACTTACCATGTGCATTTGATAGGAAAGTGACCTAAGATGTATTCTGAGGTAAGGCTTATTTCACGGGGTACTGACACAGCTATAAAATTCAACAAATATGAGAAAAATAAATGGGGTAAATTTGAAATAGAAGTGATCTTCATATACTATGTTTCTGCTTTTGTGTCTGGTCTGGCAGCAGCCTGTTAGCGTGCGCTACTTTATTCATTTGCATGCTAATGTATTGATGTTGCAGCTCAACAGTTTAGATTTTCTTTGAAATCAATTACACAGTTGGTACACTAACACCTCTCCAGCTCAGATGTGTATTCATTTCAGTAAACATACATTGGTAACAGCACAATACAGATAAATGCCTCGATTAGAGGAGCTAAACAAATGAGCTGGGGATGGGTTTAATGAGATTTGGCACAAAAGAAGCTTATATTTTCTTTGACAATGAGCGGTGGAGCACATCGTGAGGAATTATAGAAATCTGTGTCTTTCTTTTTCATTTATACCATCCATAACTAGCTAGCACTTATTGTTCTCGTATGTCACTCATATATCACTGCCTATCTGCCCATCATCTCCCAGTGGAGACAAACAGACCCCCCCCCACACACACACACTACCACCACCACCACTATCCACATCAACCTTTCACTTTCTTTTCCTTGTAGAGTTTTGATCCTAATAAGTTCTGAAAAGTTCATTGCTCTTGTTAAATATTTCTAACAGGTTAAAGAACCGGTAAACACTTTGACGGACAGCTGGACATAATAAACCTGTCCTAAAATCCTTAAACTAGAGCCTAAGATAAACAAAACAACCTTTGACACTATTAGATGAACAACAAGCAAAATTCAGGCCCTAACCAGTTTATTTAATCCAACAATTACAACACGTGGTTAATGTAAGATTTCAACAGCAGTGTACGTACTGCTGGCCCATTGACACTTAATGCACTTTGCATTAAAATATCAACATATTTGTTGGTGACTTTTGCAGTAATTTTCATATGCAGAAGACCAATATCTGATCTGGGTCTTTCAATATAGCATTTTGCGGTGCTTTTTAAATAATTTTGCTCGTTAAAGTTATAGGAGCATGACTCTAAATGCACCTGCTATAAGAGGGAGGGGGGAGGGAAACAACTGCACAGCAAACAGAGATGCTTACAATCATCTATGTTGCCTTTGAAGGAAGAAATAAAACCATCTCTGTAGGTGAAAGTCCATCTATAGAACACATGTACAGCCAAGGACACAGAGAGAGACAGATACATGTAGAGACAGGAGCCAGAGAGATGGACAGGCAGACAGACAGACACAGACATGAAAGGACGGCTGAAACAGGTGAGCAGTGAGTGTGGAAGTATACAACAGTGGTAATGGTGATGACTGGCTTGTGGCCCACAGCCAGCAGCTGAGCTCCTTGTAGACGAGTTCTCTCTCTGACATGTGTGTCCCATTTATTACCCATTAAAGGGAGGGGGGCAGTGATGAATCTTTAATATGACATTACACCAATTTTCCTCTTCATTTAGTCTGCTAATGTGCCGATCTGCTCTATATGCCCGGGGGCTGTCTGTACCAGACTCCACCAAAAATAGCCACAGTAGCCACTGGTGGCACACCTCGAAGCAGGGTAATTACTGGTCAGCGTCACACTAATGGGGTTACAGAGACAATCATAGGTTGACTTTTTTTAGCAGGTAAAACCGATCACTGAGTAATGGGCAAACCTGTCTCTTTGCACCATCACAAACCGTGGCTAAAAAAACCCCAAAAAAAACATAGGGAAGAAAATCATAGATTTGTTCCCCCAGTACCTTAAACCCAGCATTAAGGACATTCATTTTTATCATTTATTAGTGTTTTTGTTCATGAGGGCCTCAAACATGGTTAAACTCAGCAAACAAAGTCCAATTAGTGTTAACAAAGAGGAAATGACCCAAGTCCCACTTGAGAGATTTACCAGTATAATGTGAACTATAGTGAGGACACACTTCTTTTTTTCATTTGGAGTATAAATGTGTATAAAACGCTGCATAGTACACAAGTTTTGTTTTGTGTTGTATTGAGTTGAATATTATTACTTTTACACGTTGACTTTGGGATGAATCCCTGGACCTCAATGACTGGAATCCAGTTCATACCCATTTGGAAATTACAAAGTGTAAACCAAGCACATTTTTGATACTCACGACCAATGTGATGCCACAAGTAATATCTAACCATTATATTTACTAACTCATTGTGCACATAAATGTCTCCTTTTACTGTTGTGGTTGTATTAGGGATGTGTGTTTGACTCACTCAG